AGGCCGGGCTGGCCCCGCGGCAGAGCGAGGGGACCCCCCCCAAAAGTGGCTTGGGGGGAGACACGGGGGCTCTGGGCCACCACGAAGCCGCTCAACAATAAACTCAGATTATTTTCTCAGCAGAAGCCTGTCTCTAGGCCGGGGGATGGTTTAACCGGAGCCAGCGCCGCGGCATCACCGGCACGTTTCTGCACCGGGCAGGTTCTAACGGCACCGGCAACGTGCGATAAGCCAGAGGCGACGCGCCCCGCGTCAGGGAGAGCGCAGAATCTGAGGCAGAAATTCCTTTCAAAGATGCCGCGGGGGCTCCTTGGGGAATAAAAAATGACAAATAAATCGAATTTAAAACGCGCCCCTTCACCCGCGCTGGGGGCACGGGGAGAAGTCAACGCTACCAGAGCCAAACTCCACTGGTCTGACGGAGAACAGCGCACGGCTAAAGCAAGCTGTCGCTTCCAAATGTTATTTTAAGAAAAAATGGCTTTTTTCAACGACTAAGTCGTTTTACTGCCAGCCCCGAGATCAAACGCCCGGGGCGGCGACACCGACTGCTTTTTAGGCAAATGTACAATTAGCAAAGAGGCACGAAAGGAACCGGGGCTGGGTTACAGCTTCTCAGAATGTTTAATGAAGGAGAAATCACGAGAGGACAACTTTACACAAAATCAGAGTTATTTAAAAGGCTGAGTTCACTCACTAACACCAAGTTAAGAGACTAAACCAGTCGGGAGATTTAGGGAACGTTTGCCTGGGGTATAGAAAACAACTGCTCTCCAAAAGAAGAGCGGCCAAAATGGCAGCTCACCGGTAGGCGTAACAAAATGCTTAAAAACGTCGCGGTTTGAGACGTCACCGGGCTTGGGGGCTGCATTCACCGCAAACACGAGTGAAAATAAACCCCCAGAAACCTCAGGCGTGGCTTCTTCACTCCAGTTTCCTTGTTTGAAAAACAATAAAACCCTGTAAGAAGCAAATCGGCCGAAGCAAGGAACTGTTTTACTCCTCCAGCTGTTCCTCAAATGCCCCGTCTTCAAGGTACAAACCCCCCTCCCTGCCACTTCCCCCTCCCCAGTTCCCCCAGTTTGGACTTGGAACGCACTGGTAGAAATGGGGATCCATCATCGGCGCCTCCTGTCCGGACTCCTGCTCCGTCGGCGCCCGCCCCTGGAAGAGAAGGGAGAGCGTGTCGGGGGTGCTTTCTTGGTAATTATGGTGCTGATGTCACTCCTGGTGATCCATGGCCTTCTACAATGGAGTGATGTCATCAGCGGCTAACTGATGTCATCTACCTGACTTCTGTAGGGCCCTGCATTTGGCGTTGGAGAGCTACGGGCGACCGGGAGGCGGCTGGACGGCCACGTCCAAAGAGTTACGGTCAAGGGCTCCGAGGCCAAGTGGAACCCAGTAACGAGCGGGGTCCCTCAAGGGTCCGTACTGGGACTGAAATATCTTCATCGACGGCACGGGCGGGGGGATCGAGCGCACCTCGTGGGTGACGCCGAGCGGAGCGGGGCAGTCGATACGCTGGAGGGAAGGGAGCTGGACAGGCTGGAGCAACAGACCCGTGCGAAGCTTGTGAGGTTCAAGAAGGCCAAGTTCAAGGTCCTGCACGTGGGTGGGGGCAACCCCCGGAACCAGCACAGACTGGGGGACGGGTGGGTTGGGAGCAGCCCTGCGGAGAAGGACTTGGGGGTGCTGCTGGATGAAAAGCTGGATGTGACCCGGCAATGTGCGCCGGCGGCCCAGAAATCCAACCGTCTCCTGGGACGCCTCACCAGCGGCATGGCCAGCAGGGCGAGGGAGGGTTTCTGCCTCTCTGCTCTGCACTGGTGAGACCCACCGGAGCCCCGTGTCCAGCTGTGGGGTCCTCGGGACAAGGAGGACACGGACCTGGTCCAGAGAAGGCCATGAAGATGATCCAGGAGTTGGAACCTCTGTGCTCTGAGGACGGGCTGAGAGAGTCGGGGGTGCTGGGGGAAGAGAAGGCTCCGGGGAGAACTTATTGTGGGCTTTCGATATAAACAGGGGTTTATAAGAAAGATGGAGACGCTTTTTACAAGGGCCTGTAGTGACAGGACGAGGGGAAACCTGCTCTGGTGGAAACGTCCCTGCCGTGCTGGTCTTCAAAGGTCCCTCCCAACCCAAACCCTTCCGTGATTCACCCCAGCACCAGCACAGGAATTTTTCTGGGCCAGGCAGACAAACCAGCGCCCAGCGTGCCAAGGCCTCACTCGCGACCCGGCGTGCCGGCGGCTCGGCCCTTACCTTCTCTTTCCTTTCGGGGGCCCTCTCACGAAGCACCAATCCACGCTGATGGGCTGCCCCATCAGCTCCTGGCCGTTCAGCCCCTCCATGGCCGCCTGCGCCTCTTTATAGGTTTCGTACTCGACCAGAGTATATCCCTAAGGAACAGGAGGAAACGAACGTGAGCCATGGCAGATCCTGGCAGAGGGGGAGCCTGATGAGGGGCCAGACATGGGAATAATCCCCCCTCGAGCATTGTTTCATCCCAGTTTCCGCGGCAGAGGCGGGGAATGGGAAGCACAAGCGTGCGTCGCATCCAGCGGCTGCCACGCGGAAGAATTCAAACATCCCACAAGCCAAAATGGAGGTGGTGAAGCAGCCAAAAGGCTTGAGGGGTTGAGCATCCCCTCTTACCTTCAGGTAGCCCGTCCGTCTGTCGAGGTTGAGGTGGATGTTTTTTATCTCGCCGTACTCCGCAAATTTGTCGTGGATGTCTTCTTCCGTCGCCTCCTCGTGAACCCCCGTGACGAAGAGAATCCAGCCCTCCACCGCTGCGGTGTGAGAGGGATAAGAGTTATGTCTAGCGCAGAGCGTGCTCCCACGTCAGCTGTGGGGTCTCACGGAAAGGGTCCACCTCAAAAGCCACAGTTAAACACAGAGCAAGCCGTACAGAGGTGGGAAGGGGAGATGGAGCCCCAGACTCCAACATTCGCGGCTTAGCTTGCGATAAATCCCAGTAAGATGGGGAAAGGCTTTGTCCCAGCAAGGTCTGAACCCCGATACGGAGCCAAAGACCCCGCGTTCCCCCACCACCTCCCCTCCCTCCGGGAAAGCGCCCATGGTGAGGGCTGGGAAGGCGCTGCCGGTGATACTTACACCTCTGTGGGCCCGGCTCATCCCCATCCTGCTCCACGCTGTCGTAGTCCTCGCGAACGCGGGCCCGCGAGCCCTCCTCTGGGCACAGCAAAGAGGGGGAAAGAAAGGGGTGAGTGATGCCATCGCTCCGGAGGCCAATAGGCCCCAGACCACCACAAACCCATTTAAAACTCCCCCAAAGCACAAAGACAGCGGGGGTTTCACACCAGACCACTCTCTGAGCGACTCCAGGGCAAGCGTTTAACCCAAACCGGGAGACGGAGGCTGGGTGGGGGACACCCCGGCCGGCGCAGGAGGGCAGAGCCCGTCCGGTGATCCTCACCTGAGCCGAAGCCTCGGCCTTTCCGCTTCTTGGCTTTCTCCTTCAGCTTGTGGATGCTCTCTGCGGGCGAGAGGGGAAAGGGCTGGAACCGAGGAGGGGACGCAGGCCA